GGGATTTTGTTAACAATGCAATAAAATACATGAAGCCAGTAAATATCACACACTACTCGGCCTGTATATATATATATATCTAATGACAAGGCTCAGTCTCCAGGAAATAGTTATTTTGTTATTTCAACTCAAATATCTTGCAGAAATGTTACTGAGTATGTAATATAGTTATTAAATTGAATAAATTGATGGTAATTTGACTTAGAATATATACCTAGAAGCAGTTATGATGATAAATCTAAGTCAGTAGAGGTGCCAGGTAAAAACTAGAGCAGGAGCCCTTAATCAGACCGAAAGTCTTATTGAATCTAAATCGAGTGACCCGAGTGAATCGAATCCGAATCGAGTGTGTATCGAGTGTGTGTCAGGCCTTGACCAGTGATCGTATTTATAGGCATCATCAGGAGGTCATGTGACCTTTCTCAACCAATCAGAACACAGGTTTGATAGCTTGCATACAAGAAACACTGCATAGGCAGTTTCATTTCTAACACAAGTAAGTGACTACTAATTGTCCTTATGTTGTACTTCTTGTCCGAATACAATTAGGACACAGTAGAAATAATCAGGACATCGAGACAGTTTGTTATAATAAAACGGACAATATCTTTCCGTCAACGTAGCGTCAGTGGCCGCCATCTTGGTTTGTGGTCGGCTCTATGACAAGTGAAATTTACAAAAGCATCAGTTTCCTTTATCATATGGTATTTTCCTTATGTTAAATAAAGTGTCCGAAAAGATCAACCATGATGGACAAGTGAGATTTGTGTAAACATCTTATATAACAAGAATAAGGACAACGATTATATTCAGGCCAAGCGGCGGGACGACATTTTGACAGACGTCAAATGTATACTAAGACCATTGACAACTTTGGCCCAGTGTAGCATCAATATGCCCTGTATCCAGGAATTGATGTTGTCCTATGTGTCCTTTAACAATTCGGACACGAACAAGTTTGCTAAAATATTTGGTAAATGCAAACAGAGAAAACGGACAGCAGACTGTCAATTAGTGCCTAGAATGATTGTCGGCAACAAATGTCAAAACACGAAACGACTGTCATATTGCAGGTACAAATGTAGGAAATACAAGTGGTTATACATTGTCCTCTATATCGTAAAGCAAAGCATTTCTACCATAGAATGCAGGAAAATACCAGATAATGAATATGTGGCTTTAATATAAAAACGGACATCCTATTTATAATTAGTCACTAAGCCTAACGTAAATGTTGTTGACAGGTCACCGTAACCGGAGAAATGTCAAACAGATCAAATTCGTTATTCAGTTCAATCAAGTGTAATTTTCATTAGTATCCATCATGGAATACACTTTAAAACACTTCTGAGCAAGAAAGTTATCAGAAAATCGTCATTAACAAGTGTAATAGGTCATTGTTTATCTGGGTAAAAAGTCACACTTACTTTCTATAAATAGCCAGGAAGCAGGAGTGTACACAAGAAATAGTCCCTGACAAACATTGGTGTTAACACTCAAAATACACAATGATTCAAGACAGTGAATAAATACATCATTTGGAGACATAAAATACATAAGTCTGTACAATAATAGTACAGAATGACATCAGTAGTAGAATCCTTCATGGATGTAAATAGCGTAGTGACACACAGTGGTAATTAGGTCATGTCTGACAAGTGCTGCTACCGCGAACGTTCAGTGCTTGATAAAACAACTATCAACAGTGAATATGCCCCCTTAAAGATGCCTCAGATCTGTGAACTTCAGAATCAGGTAACTGTCTATGATGTTGTTAGGTTAAAATTTACTTTAATGTTAAAAATATGGATGGACATTTGCAGATAGATCGTGATATAACGAAAATAGGTGACACTTGTGATTTACAAAGTTAACATGATGTTTTTAATACTAATACTATATCAATTTAGATTCTATTACAATATTCCAGCAATATCACGGCAGGGGATACCGGAAATGGGCTTCACACATTACACCCATGTGGGGAATCGAACCTGGGTCTTCAGCATATCGAGCGGACGCTTTAACCATTAGGCTTCCCCAACGCCACCGCCCCCCATATAAGAACATTTAGAGCTGTGTATGTTGAGATATGTATGGTAAAGTCAAGGCATGTATAGTAATGAATAGATGTAAAACTGAATCGTTTTCAACATCTTGCGGCGTTCGCCAAGGCTGTATGTTAAGCCCTGTTTTATACACTCTATTCATTAACGAGTTGGCTATAGAATTTAAAAATGGTAGTTTAAGAGGTATTTTTGTCACTGAAGAAATTGAAGATAGTTTCTTGTTGTTGTTTGCTGATGACGTAGTGTTGGTAGACGATTCAGTTTATGGGTTACAACAAAATTGGGATTCTTACGTAATTATTGTTTGAAGTGGGGTTTAGAGGTTAACTTAGATAAATCAAATATAATAGGTTTTCGAAATGGAGGGTGTTTAAAGAGGGTAGAGAAGTGGTACTATTCGGGTAAAGAGGTTAAAATACGTCACCTACTACACATATCTTGGTATTGTATTTTCCTTAAGATTAGTCTGGTCAAAAGCTTGTGAAACGCTTTCAGTTCAAGCTAGGAAGGCTTTCTACGCAGTTTACAAATTGATTAAAGTTTATCCTTCACTCCCATTTGTTGTAGTCCCTAAAATATTTGATACCAAAATAATGCCTATTATATTATATGATTCGGAAATATGGGGTTTCACTTATAGGGGAGATATTGAGAAAGTCCAAAGTGTATTTTTTAAAAGGTGTTTGAATATTTCTAAATTGACTCCGACTCGTGTTGTATTGGGCGATGTTGGAAGATGTCCAGTTTGTGTAAGTTATTTCAGTCGCTGTGTCGGGTATTGGTATATGCTTCTTTGTATGCAACCTCATCGTAATCCTAAAGCGTGCTACGAAATGCTAAAGTTGAACTGTTAGTAATGGTAAAGTAAACTGTTATTGTTTTCGATGGGCTTTTCTGATGTTTGGATATCTCAGGATTTGGGCAATTATGACATGTTTATGCATACCTTTTCGACACGCTGTAAGGATGTACAGTTCCAGGATTAGCATGGTAGACTATCGGGAAGAAGTGATTTCTCCTTTTATACCTGCTTTAAATCTTTGTTAGACACTGAACGATATGTTATAGAACTGTTTAGTCATAAAGATTTATTACGAATATTTTCTAAATTTAGATTTCAGTCACATAAATTAAAGATTTGTAAATTAAGGTACGATAATGATATGATACCGACAAACTTTTATGCTCTCATTGTACTACGAGTGTTGTAGAAGATGAGTACCACTTTGTATTAGTTTGTCCATATTATATACATCTAAGGGAGCAACTAATATCTCCGATTTATTTCACATATCCTACAAGGAAAAGATCGTATCAGCTGTTAACGTCTAACAGTCCCAAAACATAAAAACAATCTGTCCATATGCTTGAAACGAAATCTGCCAACTTGAGCTGTCAGGCATATGATATTGAAATGTACTGCCATGTGCTTTTGGGCCATGGGGCCTAATGACCGAATAAACTTGTCACTTGTCACTTATCACATAGTTGTGTGAAAATAAATGGTAAAACGACTGGCTACTTTTCTGTAAATGCTGGACTGAAGCAGGGCTGTGTTCTTTCCCCACTTCTGTTTAATCTCTTTATCAATGACCTTTATCGACAGAATCAACAAGTTGGATATTGGGATATCTATAGATGGAAATAAGAAAATTGGTATCCTAGCCTATGCAGAAGATCTGGTCCTATTAGCGGAAGCAGATGAAGATCTGTCACTACTGTTGTATATTCTCAATACGTGGTGTACCAGTAATAATATCAGTATAAATGAGGACAAATCTAATGTGGTGCATTTTACGACCCTGTCTATCACTAAATCGTGCCTTCATTTGACATAAGTTTTAGACTACGACCAACTTTCAAAAACAGCAGCAAAATCTGCAAGTGGGGTGCCTGGTCTCTTAATCGCCAAATCTAAGGCTTTGGTGGAATGCATCATAAAACCTTTAAAAAGTTGTATGACGCTATGGTCTAGTCTAAACTGGACTATGGTAGCAGCTATATTGGGCACATCAGACTGCTCAGCAGTGAACACAGTGCAGCACAGAGCTATGGGATACTTCCTCGGAGTCCGTAAATACACATCCAATGCAGCAGTACAAGGGGAGCTAGCCTGGACCCCGCCTATCGTGAGACAGTGGAAAGCAGTGGGAAGACAGTGGGGACGTTTTGTCAACATGGAGAAAACCAGGACCAACAGAGCTATACATGTATTTGTATAGGCAGACAACTATGCAAGGAAGCATAAGTGGAATTGGAATAATAGAGTACACAGAAAATTTAGAGAATACGAACTCTCAACTTTTTAAACACTACTGTGAAATATTGTAAACGACATATCGGTCACGTTATTGACAACTGTGAAATGAATACAATGGGAAAAGCATCGATACGAGTGTACAAGACTTTTAAAATGACATATTCATGTGAAGTTATCTGTCATGTAATATGAATCGTGCAAACAGGCGAGCACTTACGCTTTTTAAATATGGAATTGCCCCTTTAAAGATGGAAACGTGAAGATATGAAAACCTGTCCTGCTTCTACAAAACTGAGGATGAATCTCACGTCTTATTACATTGCCTCCTTTACAATCACATCAGGACACCGCTGTAAGACAAATGTCATGATATCATACTCAATGTTAGAGATCTGTCTGATGTTGAAAAGTTATGTCACGTTTTAGCCAACCCTTTATTTATATGTATTAGTGCCAAATCCTGCAGGGATATTTTACATGCTCGAAGTGTATATCTATACAAATGATCTTAAACTATACTAACCTTTCATGCCATTTTATCTTTTAAAATATTCTTTGATGTTTTACTTCATTGTCTCTTATAACTCCAGTTGGTGTGGCTTGTGTATTTTATCAGTAAGGTCTGTCTGTTTTATGGTCATCATCTTTGTTCGTTTTTTCCGATCTTGCAGATGCCAACGACCAATCGGGGCAAGTGACTTGTTATACTGGCGCTAATTGTGATATAACCTGGACAGATGACGTTCCTCCATTCATTGTAGTTCAATGGTATTTCAACGATACACAGATTGCACAGACGTACAATGAATCATTGTCACAGGTGTGTACACACACACACACACACACACACACACACACACACACACACACACACATATATATATATATACAGGTGTGTAAACTCTGATTTACAGTTTTGTTGGAAAAATAATGTTTCTATAATTATTGTGCTGTAGCGACAAAAACGAAACGCATTGGAAGTATCACTGTAAACAGCAGCAAAGATATTCCATGATGTAATATATTGTTTCGAAATATATAAATATTTCTGTTAGTGCCAGTGATAAAGTAGATGGTCAGTTATATACGACTCCATACCTTAATGACACAGGACGTTGTGCATAATATTGTTATAACTGGCACGTGTTGTTCAGATTATATAATTATGTAGCATAATTTACGTATTTTTAATGTGATGTGAAGCAGCAGACAAAACAAACTAAATGTATGGGTATAATGTCCACTGCATGGATTTGTAAAGTTGTTTCGGACTGTAGATATATGTTCCAGCTAGTGGGTTCTACGCCGCTTTTAGCAATATTCCAGCAATATCATGGAGGGGGCAGGGGGGCACAAAAATGGGGCCTCACACATACCCATGGAACCCAGGTTTCCGGTTTGAGACCACACCACAACACACGCACGCACACACCTATTGGGAAATATATGCCTCCCTCTAAATGCCTATCACTTTTTCTTTTATAGGACACACTGATAATCAACAAAAACTACATGGGCCGTTTTCGACTGAATAGGACTGACAGCGTTGGATTTAATATAAAGGGTGTGAAGGAAAATGACACAGGGGAGTACAAGTGCCTCGTCACCTTGCAAGGCACTGGTGACGTGAATGTACGGAAGTGCCTTTTAAAAGTAGAAGGTAAGGTTTATGTTCCGCAAACGAATATCAGAATGAATTTTTAGAGTGAGTTAAATCTAACAATGCCTCTGCAATATATAATTGTTATCGCCATAAAGTATCGGTCTTCAATACACAGACCAATCAAACTGTACAGACTATCAATAGGGATAACTGTTAAGGACACAAAAAGAACTCAAAACCACCCAGTTTGCTATTTCAACTTTCGAACTATAGATTGTAAAATGGGTAAGCAGTGCCCAGAAACACTGAAAAATATATACAATGCCCGACAGTGAGACAACTAACATTCTACGGAAGAAAAGCTGTTAATTGAACAATAAGATAACACAAAAGAAGATATAAGTGAAATACGTGCCCAGGTTTTATTGAGCTACTATCTAAAAGCAAACTAAATTTTGCACATTTTAGCTGTGCTCATTTTGTTGACGTTCATCAGCTGATGAAGAGTGGATCAAGGACATTTCATGATGTACAAGTTCCGTGATTTTCAGCTCCCTATTGGCAGTTAGTGAAACCACATAACATAAACACAAAACTAATCGTATTTGTTAAAAACATAAGGGATATGTAAATAACTCAGATGGCTCGTTTGTATAATCCCGAGTATTTGTATCGTTATGGCATTTTGTAATTGTTTACAAGATCTTGAAAAATATATATCGTCAATTTGACCTTGTACAGAACACATCCAATAGAATTGTGTTGTCGAATATGTAGTGTTTAATAAGGATAGGGTCAGAAACGATGAGAAATTCAAATACACACGGCTCTCGTGTTTCCAATTGAGTGTTTTCACTAACGATCTTGCGGGCATGTTTCGAGATTTTAAGTGCGCTTTGCGACATATTCAGGTAATGTAATTATAAATTGCTACGAGATTTGGGGCAATCTATTTATATATAACTTATCAACTGTAAACTTAAGCACTGTGCTTACATTGGGGATATTGTAGTCTGACTTTTCTTTGAGTCCTTCATACAATTTTTCAACGTACTAATTTTAAATGTCACCAGGTTTATGGCAGCAATGCCATACAGGCAAGTTCAGACAACTGGTAGATACATGTATTATGTTTGGACTCTCCACAAATTGTTCAGTTTGAGATTATTTTAAACTGATTAGTGTATCTATACCGGAATTTATAACAGCTGAAATAAAAACAAATCCTAGTTGCGATTGTTAAACCGTTTTTAAAAAAATACGTTTGGAAATATAAGGTGAACAGCTGGTAATAATTACACTAGAATGTGTTTCATCAAATCATCACGGTTATTATAATTGTTTAAAACATATTAACATATTTTAAAAACATCATAAACTTTCGAGTCCTTCAGCAATGTTTATTTCTATTGGAATTAAACAGAAATAGAGTTGTTGTTCTTGTCTGAATTAGTTCTGATGTTCATATATTCAACATGGAATCCTTCCAGGGGGGGCACGAGTCGGTATTCGACTTGTCCCGGAATAAGACGAGTGGATCACGAATGTCAGACGGTTATCTTGTTTATGATGTCATGACAAGCTTGCATGGGATCCGGTGTGTCTTACCTTAGATTGATGCATGACAAAATGGTCGATGTATTTGGGGCAAAACCTGTCCATATTGGTTGAAATGGAAACTGAATCTGTTGCCAACATTATTAAGTAACGAATAGAAACTTAGCATCAATGACTTGGCTGTATCTGTCTAATCCAGTATCTTCCAGATGAATAGAGAGTTTTACTTCAAGCGGTGCCATAGATCTTTCTCCTGCTTACCAGCAACGAAGCTCAAATTTACAAAGGTCGTTTACTACAGTACGGTTCGTTTACATCGTATCCGCCATGGCCAACCATATTCCTGTGGCATTTGAAGGATATATAAATATATATTGAAAGTTTTTTTACATTTAGCCACAGGGTATTTCGAAAAAATATGCATGTTTGCTGATGAACGATGAACGAATTTTAGCAGATACGACAGCATAACAGCAGGTGAGATATGGTCCTGCATATTTTGCTTTTAGATATTAGAATGTATTTTTTTCATGTGATTCTTTCACATGTACAGCACTAGAAAAGCCATGATATATTATTTTTTACATGTAATGTTCAATGACGTCACTGCCTTGTACAAATCTCATTCAATAGGTTCCTAATTTGTACTGTATTCGTGTCATATTTTATTCATGTTTCTTATTCGCTTTTTAGCTCGTGATACGTCGACGAGGAGTTCCACTTCAGGTACATTGTTACAAATCTTCAAATCATTAACGCCCAAATCACCAAACAATTTTGAACATTTATCATATCTCGTTTGTGTTTAAATATGTTTCTTTCATTCCTTTTGGACACACACAGAAGTTCACTGTTCAGAGTCCCTTATTCTTGAGAGAATGATATATATGGCTCGAATCACACACTGGCTATGATTGAGATGTCACTCAGGCACCAGTGCTCGTAGGTTTTACTCCGCTTTCATTCATGTCAAGCATGTTGCTTTTGCCTCGTTTCTCTAACTGTAAATTCTATAAATGATGACCACTTTTGCATAGTGTGTTACACTGAGTCTCACTGATGTTTCATGTTTTAGGTGACGAAACGACAACACCCACGCCCACTCCGGCAGGTACGTTTTCCTGTACATCTGTCTGCGTTTTGACACATGTCTACCCAACACTTCACATCAAAAGAAATGTTTTCGTTTTAATGAACAGATTACGTTCTAATTCACACAAACTAAATAGCAAACTTTAAGAGAAACAAAAGGAAGCATATGCCTTCATATTGTCATGTACAGCTGATATTGCCATATTATCAATATTACCCTCACGCTCAAGGACTAATGCTAGATTTGATTCGTTACATATAAAACGCACGCACGCACGCACGCACGCATGCACGCGCGCACACACACATATATATATATATTCCAATGTATGTATATATATACTTTATACACCAGATTTGTAATGGTATTAACATATTCAACAGGACACATGGTTTGCCTTCATATTAATCTGAAGGGGCGGTTGGGTAGCCTAGTGGTTAAAGCCTTGGCTCGTCACGCCGAAGACACGGGTTCGAATCCCCACATGGGTACAATGTGTGAAGCCCATTTCTGGTGTCCCCCGCCGTGATGTTGCTGGAATATTGCTAAAAGCGGCGTAAAACCAAACTCAGTCAGACAGTCATATTAATCTGAAAATCTTCAATGTGATCTCTGCTTCAAATAACTCTTTTTTCTTACTTGTTGCAGATAACGTGAGCACGGTAGCCATAGTAGTGGGAGTCCTTATATCTTGTGGAGTTATTGCCCTTGTAGTATGTGGAGTTTGCATATATCGGAGACACAAAAGGAGGTAATCCAGTAATAATCGTCTTCTGCCATTTCGAGTAGGTTCTTATAGTATATCCCTGAGATAACTGCCAAAGTTCTTTACAAAACTCTCTGAAGGCATTCGCAATTTGTATGAAAGTTTGACATTATAAGTTGTTCACTGGTCTCGAGGGGGACATTTGCCCATGGGCCCCGGGGGACCAGGGAACAACTTATTTATCTTACCGAACACCTCAATGGTAATTTTGAACTGTTTGAATCACAGGTATCGGACAATAGTATGGAGTACCAGACGACAGGAAAAACACATTTAGAGTTATCTCCCTTCCATCGATTTGCATTCGCAAAACATCGGTAATTTCCGTACACCATACGTGATTCAATGTTATTCGAGATAAAGAATTACTACTACGAAGTACCAAATGAGTTCGGAATTTCCAGCGGGGTACATAGAAAGTGTTACTCGCTTGTATGCGGGATACATTGAAAATAATAGAAAAGCGTTCAGCCAATCAGAAAATGACATTCATATGTGAGCATAGTTGCTAGGTGATGTCTGTCTGACTGACAGTATGAAAAATATTTTAGCAAAATGTCTGCTGCGGTCACAACCCAACGAGGGAGAAAGAAATAGATAGATGCGATGCGCAAAGCTTCCTCCCTCGTGGGATTGCATCCAACTGTGTACTCTCGACAAAAGGCGCCCCATTCCAGATAACCTTACCGAAAGTTTCGAAAGTTGCAAGGAAATCATAGAGGCCAGATGGGATACGAACTCACCACGGCTCCCGTTGGTCTCGGTATTCGATTTTCCTAGTCTATGATGAGCAAGCGAGCGGTGTGTCAGAGTTGACAGTTCACAGGTCAAAGTTCACAATTGTTTTCCTAGTCTGGAGAGTTCAGCGAGCACTGTGGGCAATTCGCAGTCTCTCTCTCTCTCTCTCGTCTTCGCTGATGACAGCGTTTTTACGAGACTTGGTCCGAATCTCTTCTTTCATTCTGTGATATTTTGCAATTTCTGATAGCACCAAACAAAACTCTTCCTCAGAGAGTTTAGAGTCGGTGAGTGCGGTGGAAATATGATGGTCTATCCTGTTTAACTTTGCTTCGGCTAGAATTCTAATTTCGTGTTCCAATGCTTGACATTGCAGTCTGCGAGATATGAACTTAAGGGCCAATCCCATCAACCCTGCCACTCAGGCTGTTATTTCGATGCCTAGAACCACGGGTGCGGCCACAATGGTGCCTGCGATTTGTAATGTACATAGCGCTGTGAGCAGCCAATTTGCCTTGATTGGAGCGCCATATAAGCGGACTTCTACTATTATTACTATTACTATTTCTAATAACCTGACACCTGCCGTGCCTTATCCCATGCTGGTTGAAATCAGAGCGGTGTCAACACCGTCCACGGAATTGACAGCCCTGTGATTTTTTTTTCTGTAATGCCGACCCGTGTATCGCCTTCACGGTCTAGTTGTTGTTTGATCTCGCATATCTGTCGCAAACGAAACCCTTCTACGGTTTCCAGTGTGTTTGGTACTTCATCCACGACTGGGTACAGTCCCATCCTTTGTGTACATTATATTTAATTGGTATTCCGTTAATATCCGATCGATGTATTTGAGGCTGATAAGGTTGAGACATGAATCGAATGGTTTTATATACTACAAACTCCATCGAGGCTTACTAAGGGTGTCGATCCCTGTCTTATGACCATACGACACTGTTGTTGATCGTGTCTGTCAACCCAGTCAAAAGTGTTCTTTCGGACCCACGAGCGTCTGTGAGATAGACATCTATTATGAGTGTGGTGTGTGATTTGATAGTCAACTTTGAATCGAAAAAATCCTGTTGGTCATCGGGTACATCGAACCATGAATATGAAACCACGTTGTTTGAAGCTAACTTGTTGCCCGTGTGACCTGGTATTCGTGGACCTTGTACATCAAAACCTGGAGTGAAAGATGTGAGAAGGATCCCGCTCGTATACGTTGTCTATTAAGTGCAGGACGTACAAGGTATTTTCCTCGCTGGGCAGATCGAATCCCTGCGTGTTCCTGAGATAGGCTAGTGTTACGTTTGGATGATGGTTCATCGTTTTTCATACAAAATTAGGAAATGGTTTTCAATTGGTTATCGGATAATTCCTCGAATGTGCACTTCAAACCCATGAGATGTATGTTGTCGAGTAGGATAATTTTGTGAGCGATATCGTGTCTTCCACAGTCACGGTGACTCCCTGCACACTGGTGTAGGTTTAACGTTCACCCGCACATAAACGGAGCAAACTTGGTATTGTTGTTGTTTGGCCCAGCAGAGTTTGATCCCTTTCACGATTACACCGACGTCACGCATTGACAGCGGTTTGCCGAGGTAGACTTGGATGTACAGCGTGGATTTCGACGGCAAATTATCCAGGACATCTACCACCTGTTGAATTCCGACACCATCTGCAATCCCACGTTTTGCGTCCCGGGTTTGCTTGACAGCATTTGGGCTACTACTGTGCTGACGATCAAGCTGCGTCTATGCGTGGGGACGTAAGCCACAAGCAGTGTTCCGTTGTTCACGTCTTTCGTCAGGTAGTGATTTTTGTTGTCTGTGAAAACGTGGAGAGAGTCGAGCGTGATGATGAGATTCCTGTCGATTTGGGATGGCACTAATACCCATTTGTTGTTGTCATTAAGGGTGAGAGTGTAGTGCGTTTCTGGAGACGGCCATGGTCTCGACGTTGTCCAGGTGGAATAGTCTTCCGCGGAATGCTGGGGTTATTGTCCATTTGTCCTCGTCGTTGCAGACCAGGTTGTACCGCATGTTGTTGACCGCTCCTTCGGTATCGATGAAATCAGCTAGGTTGATGTTCTTGCTACCGGCGGCAGTAGAGGAAGGCAGTTCGACGCGTTTGTAAAGGTTGTTTTTCAGTTGCAAGGCGTACAGTTTGCCGTCGACTCTGGGTTCGTCGAATCTGTGCGTGTCCCGTAGGTCGGAGATCGCTATGTTGGCGCATTTTAGAATGTGTGTCCCTGGACCTTGAGACTCTGTCATTGTTGTATGTGCAGCATCGCGCTGAGATATCCTATACTTATGGGATCGTGTTTAATGTCTAAAACTGATATGTTCAATTCCGTGATGGTGCCTCTGGTTAATTTCTTGCATTGCCGCGATGAAAACGATTCAGTTCTACCATTGTTGTACTTTTCTGTTTTCACCAGCATGGCTCTAAGCAGTGTGGAAGGTCGTTCAAGCTGTCGGTCGTGCTCAGCTGATCGAGATGAATGCACAGTTCGCGATACGGAACGAGATCCGGTAATTTAATGCCAGTCATAGTGCTTTTCGGTGGTATGTCGTTCGACATAAATCCGACCGTTCTAGCCAATGGTCGTCTGAGTCTCAAGTCGTTTTTTCCGTTGTTGGCTAACACGACCGTGCCGTTTGAGTCGTTTACTTTGAGTTTGGCTCCCACGATTTCTTTGTTGAGCAAGCAAACGCTGTAGTAGCCATCCGTTATTTGGTTGTGTTTGTCGTTGACGATCAGCCTGTTGTTGCTGCCACTGATGTTGATCCATCGCGGGTAGTAGGTTTTTGATTAGGAGACTGGCGAACCTTTTGTTATAGAGTTTGGATTTATGTGAGAGAGTATGTAGTTTTTTAGCTGTTGGTTTTTCCATTAGCTGCAATGGCTGCAATGATAAATTCGAGCAGTTTTGGGACGTGTTTGTTTAGGTGGGGCAGTTGGGATGGGTGTGGAGGAGGGGTTGTTTAGGGGGTGGCGGCGTTGGGGTGGGTGTGGTTTGGGTGGGTGGGTAGAGCATGTAGGTTTGGTGGTTGGCTGGGTGGAAGCGGTGTTTGGGGGTTTAGGTGATGGGGGTGGGGGTGGGGGTGAGTAGAATGATGAGTTGGGGTGGAGGAAGTGTAGGGGAAGGATGAGCTAACTGAGAGGATGGAGTTGTATGAGAGTAGTGTGCGTGCTGGTTTGGGCAGGTCGTTGTTTTTTATGTGTTTGTTGAGCCTGAGGATGTGTTTTTGTTTGATGGGACATGTATTTTGTGTAGCAGTGTGGCTGGGTGTGTTGCAGTGAATGCAGTATTTTTGTTGGCGACATTCATCAAGTGTGTGTGTGTCAGACCCGCATTTTGGACATAACATGGGGAGTTTACATGAGTCGGAGATGTGTGAGAATGAAAAACAATATTTGCATTGTTGTTGGTTTTTGCGTGTTGGGTGTACTTTGTAAGTGAGAGCGCCAAATGTAATGTGAGTGGGGAGTTTAATGGTGTCGAATGTGAGAAAGGTTGTTTGTGTGTTAGGGTTGTAGGTGGTGGGTTGTCTGTTGTTGATGGCTCTGAAGTTTGTGATTTTAGGTGATTGGGAATGGTGTTTGTGGGTATTGCCAACTTATCTGCTTGCCGTCTATGAGAGTGTGTTTTAAGGTGTAGTTTAGTGATTGTTGGTCAGTGAATATGATTTTGAAGCCTCGTCCGCAATTATTTATGTATTTGTATCGTATTTTGTGTTGTTTGAGGCAGAGGGCAAATTTATTTATTGAGTATGTTTGATTGAGTGGTGTGTGGGCGTTTGTGGCGAAAGCGAGGAGTATAAGTTTGTTGTCTTGGGCTTGGGGTGGAGTGACTTTGTCGCATTGTTTTTTGTTTGATTGGGATTTCGATTGGTGGATTTAGTTGTGTTGCTTGGGTGTTGTGGAGGAGGGGGTGGTTGTTTGGCTGTTTGTTGGGGTGGGGCGAGGGAGTCAAGGTCAATACCAAAATTTATAGGGATGGGGTTTATTTGATGTGGGGAGGTGAGGGGTGGGAAATCTTTTATTGGTGTGGAGAACAGTGAGATTGAGAGGGAGGGATGGTTTGGGGGCAGTAGTGGCTTGGATTATGTACACTATATACACAGATGAATACAAACAAATCGAAAATAAAGT